GGAGAAAATAATATCTCTGTAGAATCGGAGGAAGATCTGGTTGCACGCATTTTGTTCACGGTGCATATGAGATAGAAATTCGATTCACATGAACACACACACAGAACAGATATTTTATTAAAACATATTTCGTAGTAAGCGCAATGTTGAAACACATCGAGCAACTATTGTTATGAATCTTATAGATGCAATTGCTGATTTGATTTTATTTCATTTATAATATGTATTGTTTCATATGTGATATGTATATTCCAAACATAAATTTATAATTAACATTTATCTAATCAGTACTCTCTATAAACACTAAGAGTTTGTAATAGGATTATTGAAATACTCTGTATAAATATGTATACGATTTATGTAACTTATTTATATTATATATATTATTTTTATAATATAATTTGTATATATATATATATATATATATATATATATATATGAGAAAACTGATCTATTTAATAATCACTGTTGATAACTTAAATGAATAGATAAAAAGAAGATTTATGTAATCGTTAGACTTTTTAATAATATTTAAACAAAATTCATATGTGAGAAATGTAGAATTTTACCTGTTTGGTTTAAAAATTATTTTTCGAATGATACACACTGTGAAAAGAAGATCGAACGCATGTACGCTACGTACATTATTTTTAATTCATTTTGTAATTATTTACAAAGACAACGATGATCCAATAATAAATTAAATATCTAAGAAAAGATAAAGAAAAACAAAATTTTAATAATCTAATCATTATTAACTACTTCGTATCATGAGTTTCAATTTAACTCAAAATTAACGCGAAGTTAATAAATTCAATGAAAATATTCTTTTTATTTCGTGAAAAAAAAAAACTTTGATTCAGTATTTTGAATATTTCAAGAATGTATTTCATCCATAATGTTAAATTGAACTTTCGTTTGAAATTAGAAATCTTTTTTTTTTCAGGTACCTCAATGAGACAGCAAAGTAAAAGCTGGAGAGCCGAGCACAAAGCAGCGAGGACGCTTGGAATTATCATGGGTGCATTTCTTCTCTGCTGGTTGCCATTTTTCCTTTGGTAGGTTGAAAATTATCTTTTAGATTTATTTTTTTATTACGTGATTATCTTTCGATGCAACGAATTATCGTTTGTAATTATCAATTTAAACTTTAAAATAAAAGAAGATCCTTATCACAACGTGAATTTAATTCATTACGAAGACATAACTCGTAATAAAATTTAAGCCAAGAAATTTAAAATCCTATTGTTCTTTTTTTTTTCTTTTTAAAATCGATATACCTAATAAAGAAAATATTAGAACAAAATTTAAAGAGAGAGATTTAAAATTCCAACCATTTTTTTCCTTTTTTATTCAGAATCGATATAACGAAAAATTGCAATAAAATTTAAAGCGGAGAATTTTAATTGGTGTTGAAAAAAACTAATAATAATAATAGCAATAATAATAATAATAATAATAATAATAATAATAATAATAATAATAATAATAATAATAAAGAAATGAAAAACAAACATTGCAAAGGTAATAACTTTTATATTATATTAGCGTGACGGAAAACGATAATAATATTTTCCGATCGCGAGTGTGAGTTCAATTTCGATTCGAATGCGGAAACAATTTCAAAAGTTCAAAGCCCTCGGATTTGTTCGTTCATTCGTGACACACAAGAACTGGAACTCATACGATCGAAAATGGATATAACTTCGACCGACATAAATTCTCATAAAGTTTCCTCTACCTTTCGAGAATAATTTTAAATCGAGAAAAAAGCTGTAACATCCGAGATATGTGCCAGCTGAACGTTCTTTCTCACTTTAATCCGCTTTCATAAAGTGGGTTCTTTTTTCTTTTTTTTCTTTTTCCTTTTTTATTTTTTTTTTTTTTTTTTTTTTTTTTTTTTTGAGAAAACTTTTTTCATCGAAATAATGATTTTATTTTATGAAACAAAAAGAAAGAAAACATGTATTTTATATGATTAAAAAAAAAAAGGAAGAAAAAGAAAAGAAAAAGGACAGTACAATCAATAATATTTTCAATATAAGAAGAAAAACGTCTAATTGTATCAAATTAGAATTCGATGTCGCATTCAAAAATTATTAAATGAATTAAATTTATTAATATTTTTTTTCATTTTCATTTTAAATATAATCTTTCGAATATAATATTTGAATATAATACTAATAATAATAATAATAATAATAATAATAATAATAATAATAATAATAATAATAATAATAATAATAATAATAATATATTATTTGGAATGAAAATTAGTTCAATATATTAATAATTTATTAATAATTAATTTATATAAATTATATATATGTATATATAATTTTTTGTTTGTTTAATTACGTTAACAAAATATCATTAAGTAATTAATTACGATATTCCAGACATGAATTGATTAGATCTTAATTAGAAAATGTGTTTTTTTCACTTTATGATATAAAACCAAGAAAAAAGAAAAATAGATAGAAGATATATGAGTGAAAAAGAGAGAGAGAGAGAGAGAGAGAGAGAGAGAGAGAGAAAGAGAGAGAGAGACAGAGAAAGGAAGTTTAGTTAGATTCTTAGGATAAACCAGAAAGATTACATATTGAAGTTTCCTCGGAGAAGAGCTTTTTCATTCATCCTATTCCATCCTAGATAGTTTCATCCATCTATCCATCTATCTATCCGTCGTTCGTTCATCGTCATGCATTACAAAGTTTTACTATACGACTAGGAAGACTCAACGGTCGTAAAAGCTCGCCATAGTTGGTTGACTGTTTCGCTCATGTTTTGTTAATGCAAACGTCCCGAGTGCATCCCTTTGCTGAAGTTTACTAAGAGCTTATCCGGAGATATCTCAGGAAGACTTGCTTCTCTTCATAGTTTCAGATACTACTATTTGCACGACTAAACGATCGTCACGAGAGAAATCGTTTCATAGTTTCCTTCTACTTATTAAATACTTTTATTCTTTTTCTTTTTTAATAAAGCCAACATTATCACATGTATTATATATATATATTTATGTATAAAAAAAATTATATACATATGTATATATGTTTTATTTACGTATAATTTTATTAATTTTGTATATTATTAATAATGTAAAATAAGATCAAGTATAATAGAGTATACAAATTCAAACATTTACTTTGACTATATTATACTTAAGAATGTAACGATGAGATTTGTTGTATAACAATAGATATGACACATTAAGATTTTTTTTCATTTTTTGTATTCCTTTTTCTTTTTTCAAACGTAAGATACATACAAACACGTAATTTAGTACACACACACACACACACACACACACACAACACGTAATATACCCTGGACACTGATATTCACTGAGATTGTGTATCTCGACACGTTGATCAGCTTTCTCATTCGTAAGCTATCCCAGATGTCCACAATGTAATTTTTTCTAGCAAGACAAAGCGGAGCTTTTTCTTATCTCTAGGACAAATTCAGTAATTTTCTTGAATGAATGAAACTTTTCTAAAATAATGTATTGGCCGCGGTAGACGCATTGACTGTCCACACGGATTTCTTGCATTTAAGGATTTTATGAAAATACAAAGCCCATGTGTTACTTATATCATTAAATTTACGATAATTAAAAAAGAGAACAAAAAATGCCCTTGCTCGATGGACGAAGGGTTCTTGAAAAAAAAATTGACAAAAACTTGAATTTCGATGTCGATACATACGTGTCTAACGATAACTACGTGAAACATTTATAGACATTCATAAAAACTTGAAATATTACTGATTATTATCATACAGCTAATTTCATTCTTTGATTCTATATAGTTCGATTCAAAATAAATCTTTTCGATCTGAATTCTTTTCTCGGCAAAATAAGATGAATCAAGTTCGTATGAATTTGTTTATTATACTTATTTATCATTTAATATTAACAATATTTGAAAAAATAAATCGAAACGTGTCCTTTAAAATGATATTCGATTCAGGTCTCTACAAATTTTTTTGGCAAATAAAAAACGTGGCTATTAATAATGTGAAAAAAATTTTTTTTTCTGTAAAAAAGTGTTTATTAATTATTTATTGATTTATATTATTTTATTAATCGGAATAACAATCTGAATTTTTCTTCTTTTTTGGGAGTGGGGCGGAGTACAATGAATTTGTTTATAAAAATTGCTTATAACAAATTATTGATTAATTATTAACAGTACGTTGAAAAAATACAGAAAATTCTGCGCTTTAAAATGGTATTCGATGCAAGTCTCTGCGATTTTTAGTTCCAGAAATATACCCACGTAAATAAAAAGGCATGGCTGTTAATAATAAATAAAAAATTGTAATAAGTAAAAAAAAAATTGTTTTTATGATAAAAAAAATAATTTGTTCATTAATTATTTTTTAATTTATGTAATTTTATAAATCAGAATAGCAATCTGAATTTTCTTCTTTTTTCAATCTTCAAGTTCGTAAAAATTTATGTATAAGAATTATTTATAACAAATTGTTAATTAATTATTAACAATATATTTAAAAATAAATAAAAATTCGGCCCTTTGAAATAATATTCAATGCAAGTCTGACTTTTAGTTTCAGAGATATTCCCATATAAATGAAAGACATTTACATTGAACCACTGGCCCATATAATTCCATTCAAATTTGTTCAGTGACCTATATAAATTCCGAGAATTTACGCGACCCTACTACTACTACTACTTCTATTACTACTACTACTACTACTACTATACTGCGAACAGCTGTATTATAGGACTTATGAATGAAAATCTTTCAAAGGCAATAACTTCCGAACGAAAAATCGTAAAGACTTGAAAGAAAGAACGTTTTCAAACGTAATTTATTAATTATTTATTTAACTATTGGAATAATATCGATCTAATGAAATCAATTTTATTAATAATTTTTTTAATCGAATTTTTTCTTTTCTCTCGTAATAAGTACATAAGTAATATGAAATCATATAAATTTTTATTATAATAGTATAAATTTTATTTTGTTTATTTAAAATGAAATATAGAAGATTTATTAATAATCGATAATATATAAGATTAAAAAAGATGAAAAATTTGAAAGACATTTCTATCGTAACTTACTTTCTATTATTATTTTTTTACTACCTCCCTTATTATATTTTAGTCATATCGTTTTACACAATTTCTTAAAAATAATATATATATATTATATATATATATATAATATAAAAATATAAAATAATAAATATGTGTAATATATAGAAAAAATTGAAAACGAAAATTAAGTATAAATTAAAAAAGTAAATTACAAGCAAAATGATATCTCGTGAAGTAACATGAATGAAATAAAATTTCTTTTCAATTTATTCGTATGATCAGGACAGTCTGTATAAATAATGTACACAAATTGCAAAGTTATATCAGAGATTAAATCATTGTAGGTATTATATACTTTGTAGGTAACTAGAAACGTTGAACGTTCGATCAAAATAGAATAGAAATAGAGTTCGTGTTAGGTTACTCTCGCTCGATAGTAATTTCCTGGATTTTGTATGAATCTGAACTCTAAGGAAAGGTATTTTCGACATTTCACATAAATATATATATATATATATATATATATATATATATATATATATGTATTAGGTTGGAAACTATGAAACGGACGTTGAATGAAAATAAATAACTAAACAAAAACGCCCGTTTCATAGTTTCCAACCTAATATATATATATATATATATATATATATATATATATATATATATATATATATATATATAATTGGTAGCACGAGTAGAAGAGTAGAAACTTTTCGAAATTGGATCGTTTATTTGGAAGTAATAACGAAATGAATTCTTTGAGCAATAAATTGTCGTAATATTTCTAAACTAATTTTCTGAACGTATATTTTCTAAATTATAACGAATTGTAACAAGAATGACGTACATACTGTCTAAAATAAACGAATGATTAAAGTACTATTTACACATCGAGATCGGACGTAAATTAATGACTCCTACTATTTCGGCGTGAAATTCAAACATATATCTATATATGCATATATATATATATATATATATATGTATATATATATATATGTATATATATATATATATATATATATATACATACGTGAATATTCGTAGTACGGCTAAAGGTATGACGTAAATAAGTCTCCTCGAGTTCGACATTGCTTTAATTTATATCCACATGAATGGTGTAACTCTAAACGAATATAACTTTACAATTTCATTTTGTATAATAATAACGTTTCGTATAATAAATAATATTTATACGATACACAGATATATTTCGTAGTTCTTTCAGTAAAATTGGTAAACTTAAACTTATCATCTCTCTCTCTCTCTCTCTCTCTCTCTCTTTCTCTCTCTCTCTTTTGCTTTCTCCCTTTCTAATGTCTTTTTTTATAATCTTTTTATTTTTTAAAAAATTGTATTCATTTTATATATCATTTTCAGTCGCTTTAATATATTAGGAGATTGATTATATAATGAAATTCAAAAATATTTTCTGCAAAATTGCAAACGTTTAATGTCGAACAAAATGGTCAAAATGATGAAACATTCTTTTTAAATTCTTCATGAAATACGTAATTTATATGACGTCATATTATTTTTACGTTAATAATCACTTTCAAATTATTGTCATATAAAAAAATGTTAGCAAAAATGTCGAATTGAAGTCTTCATAAGAATAGAAAGAAAGAAAGAAAGAGAGAGGGGGGGAGGGGGGGAAACATTGTGAATAATCCAATTACATTAGCTCCAGAAAAACGTTACTTTCAAAGATTAGGCGCCGGTAATGAGACGCAAAATACATAAATTTCTTGTAGTTTGAAAAAGAAAGACGGAGAAATTTGAAAGGTATTCGTCGTGGTTGTTGAAAAGAAAAAGAGAAACGATGCTCATATATGCAAATACTTTTTCTTGAGTTGGCGAGTATATCGTGCGGAATCGCATGGAAAACTCTTTTCCTTAGTGAAAAACGAATGAACGAAGGCCTCTCATCTAGGATCTTAGTTCGGGAGGTGTAAATTTGCATGCAAAGAGCCACTTATTATCCCTCAGCATCCTATACTTTTCCTATTTCCTCTTTCTTCTCTCTTTCTCTTTCTCTCTTTAAATAAACCTTGTTTTCTTGGATACCATTTATAAAATTTTGTTTCTTTTTAATATCGAATTTTCATCGTTTTTAACATTAGATCAGTAATATATGTAAAAAAAAAGAATAAAAATGAAATATATTTAAAAAGTATATAAATTTAAAAAAATGTGAAAAAAAAATTATACGTACATATATATATATATATATATATATATATATATGTATATATAATTTTAAATATTAATATAATTATTAATAAAGTTTTATTTAATTAGAGTATAATTATTTTGAAATGTGGCTTTTTTCATATCAAAAATATATTCATTTATATTATATTATATTATATTATATTATGTTATATTATTCAATTATATTTAGTTATTATTTAAAAATAATGATTTCTTTAAAATCAATTTTAATAAATTTAGTAGATCAAAATATTTTTTTCAATGAGTCATTAGTTATTTCAAACAAGAAAAATTATTTAAACGAGACAAAGAGAAATCTTTTTTGAATCCTATTCTTGTATATTATAAAACAATAAATAGGATAGACAAAATTGAATAATATATTTGAAACAAAATGCTTGGATTGAATTACTTAAAAAAAAAAAAAAAAAAAAAAAAAAATATGTCCTAATAAAATTTACTTAGATTTATATTACTTATAATCGAAACAATTTTCTGTATGAATTTATGATATTCTTAGAGAAGTATCATAAAAATTAGATGATATATTATTAACGACAACAAAAAAGTACAATAAAACATTTGCAAACGTTATAATATATTCATTTTCATCCAAACGAATGACTTTTTTACTTAAAAAAAAAAAAAAAAAAAAAAAAAAAGAAAAGAAAAAGGAAAGAAGGAAAAAAAGAAAAATGGATAAACGCATGAAACACGAAAGATGATTTTATCGTTTAATTAATTTTGATTTGATAATAATAATAGCGAATTTTTTTTTTTAGGTACCTAACGACGACACTTTGCGGAGAGGCCTGTTATTGTCCGGACACCGTCGTATCTGTTTTATTCTGGATAGGTTATTTCAACAGTGCCCTGAATCCGTTGATCTACGCCTACTTCAACCGTGACTTTCGCGAGGCCTTCAAGGACACCTTGAAGAGCGCTCTACCCTGTTGCGCCGGATGTTGGAAAACACCGTCTGAGTTCGTCTAGCGCGAGAGATCAACATAAACGGGGCTCAGATACATACATATATATATATATATATATATATATATATATATATATATATAAAAAAATCTTGAATATATATATATATATATATATATATATATATATATATATTCAAAATTTCTTCTTCTCGATTTTTTCCTTCTTTATTTTCTCTTTATTTCATTATTTCTTTCTCCTCGTCTTTTCGAATGTTCTTTGATTAAATAAAACGAACCAATGAGGAAGAATTATATTACAGATCAGAATTAATGTCTTGCAATATGTGGCCACTGACACTTCGTTTAGTTGGATAAAAAAAAAAAAAAAAAAGAAAAAAAGGAAAAGAAACAATCGATGTCAGAATATTTTATCTGATATATAAACTACGATAATAAATGACAATTATTTTACATTGTACAATATTTGTCTTGTTAATATTTATGTACATTATTGTCTTTTCTTCTTTTTTTTTCTTTTTTTTTTTTTTTTTTTTTCTTTAAAGATTAACTTCGTTAAAAATCGAACGTGGAAAGGCAATGAAATAGGAGAAAGATGAGAAATAAAATGAATGAGAAAATAAATAAACAAATAAGGAAACATGAACGTTCTTTTATTACATTATGATCGACGAAGAAGAAGAGCCCCTGGACTTATTGTTAGTGATTTCTCGATATAAAGAAAAAAAAATTAAAGTAAAACAGAACGAAAGCAAATGATGTGATTTATTGATGCTTCCGGTTAAAAAAGAAGATAAATTCTACGGTTGGATCATCAAACACAGCATAAGTCGTTGGAAAACGCGAGAGAGAGAGAGAGAGAGAGAGATGGACAGATAGGAAAGAGTGAAAAAAAGACCCGTAAACCCAAGTGAATTTGATTAAACTCTGTTGACTCTGTAAATAAATCGGGAAAAGACTGTAATACGGTATAAAAAGCGAGAGGTGCTAATTAGACATCGTTAACGAGGGCAAGCAAGGACATGTTAAAGTGTGATGGTTGCTTGGAAAAAAAAAAAAAATAAAAAATGAAAAATAAAAAACAAAGAAAATAAAAATACAAATAAAAATGGAAATAAAAAAGAAATAAAGTAAACGGAAAAATAGAATATAATAAAAATATTCAAAATATTTTCCGAGAAAGAGAGAGAGAGAGAGAGAGAGATAAAGATGGAGAGAGAGAGAGACAGATATTAAACAATTGTAATAATAATAATAAAAAAAAAAAATTAAAAAAAGAAAGAAACAAAAATATCGAAGCAACGGTGCGAGTGAAGATGGATCGAAAAATTGAATTTTTTTTCATCTTTTTTTCGTTTCTCATCGCACTTTATAATTTTGTTTCTTTATTACGTGAATAAAAATGGCCGATCATTTCAAACTCGATCAACATCCAATTGTATCGTCTCAACGTTCGAGATTCCATTTCTCTTTTATTCAAATGTTACTCTTTAATCATCATTATCATCATCATCATCATCATCATCATCATTAAAATTATTATTATTATTATTATTATTATTATTATTATTATTATTATTATTATTGTTATTATCATCATCATTATTATCATTATCATTATTATTATGATCTTGATCTTTGAGATGATTAGCATGGTTTCTCTACTCTCTTTTATATATAGTTATTTTAATTCTTTTTCTTTTTTCAAACTTTGAACGAAATAATTGCTTCACCACGTTATCGAATATCTTATATAATAAAAAAAAAAAAAAAGAAAAGAAAAATGAATTGTGGAAAAAAAAGAATAGATAAACGCTCCGTCCTTACTCGCGCGAGGCGTCGATGATCTCGACGATTTTAAATATCTCTGTAAAAATGTATCATAGCAATAATTAACGATGGACTGTAAATAGCGTAACACATACACACACATACATGCACACACGTGTATGCGCGCGCGCGCGTGTGTATGTGTAAAAGTAAAATTTAGTGAAATGATTGCGTCTTAAATAATCGCGATGGTGCTCGTTCGTTTTGTAAGTAATTATATATATATACATAGACTTATTAAATATTATTAATTATCATTGTAATTATTATGATGATTGCGATTAAGAGGAATGATTATAGTTACGTGTCGTACGTACATATGTATATGTTAAATTGATCGTTATTAGTTTCGAATAATAAAAATTTCAAAGAATAAATAAATGTATCAATAAAAAAAAAAAAAAAAAAAAAAAGTACTGAGCTTTAAAAATGAATGCGAATGAGGAAAATTGATTGACGAAGAAATTTACAAAAAAAAATAAACCTATACTTCAATCGTATTAATGATAAAAAGTATGTGTGAATTTTTCTTCTTTTCTTTTTTTCTTTTTTTTTTTTGTTTTATTAATCAAATTCAACAAGTGAAAACTATATACAGATATGGTTTATACTGTTCCTTGAAATCGTAGACTTAGAAGAAATAATGTGATCTCTATGTCGAATTTGTTTGAAACGTTTGAAGAATTTTTTAAACAATTCGTCGTAATTGTTGGTTTTCTTTCTCTCTCTCTCTCTCTCTCTCTCTCTCTCTCTCATTCTCTTTCTCTTTCCCTCTTTCTCTTTCTCTTTTTTTCTTTATCTTTCTCTTTCTCTTTCCCTCGACGTAAGTTTCGTAACCATTACGTCTATAGTTATCTAAATTATGTAATATACAATCGAAAAGGATGATTAGAAATGAAAAAAGAAAAAGAGTGATAAAAGAAGAAAATTACAATTAATGGGAACGACCACTTCGAGTAATGAGAGAGGAAGAGAGAAAAAGAGAGAGAAAGAGAGAGAGAAAGTGTGTATGTGTGATTCGTGTCAATAAAACGTAAACAACGACGATACGATACAAAAAGTTTTCTAATCACATTCCCTTCTACATTTTGTTTTCATTCGTTCATAGAATTGATTATTTAATATTTTCGAGATACGTTCACAAACATACTGGAGCTTTGATTATTTATTTGGAATCGTTATTTCTTATATATATATATATATATATATATATATATATATATATATATCTTATATATATATATATATATATATATATATATATATTTGATTAACGACATTATCGACATTCTTATTTGATCCTCTATAATCTAATTTCTTATTGTTCTTTACAATAGCAAAATAATGTATTGTAATATTTATGATATAATAATAGTATACCATAAATTTTTAACACGAATGTTATCGTTCGCTGAATACAAGTATTATTTAATTTTTAATATGTACGCATGTATGTATGTATTTTAATAATATTTTATATTATTTATATTTTAATATTTAACTTTCAAATGAGAAATAATTTTTTTTATAAAATAGTTTTCTGACGAAATATTAATAATTAAAAAATTTTCAATTAAAAATATAAATTCATTTTGAAAATAACATTTTGAAAAATAAATGAACTTATTTCCTGGCAAAAAAGAAAATTAATTCTTTATTGTAAAATACACATATCAATGTGAATTTGTGACTTCGAAGTTATATGAAATTATAGGGAATTAAATAAAATAGCAAAAATCAATGTTGAATTTTACAAAAGTTAAATTAAAATCAAACGAAAAATAATAAATTAAAAATTAGATAATTCTTTTATTCTTTGTTTTTTTTTTTTTTCTTTTTTTCTTTTTCTTATACAAATGCAATCAATTATTTCGACGATTTGTTTTTTTCTTTTTTACTTCTTTTAATAACGAAAGCTCAGAGGCTATATTTTTGACGATTTTGATTGTTATTATTAAAACAGCATGGAAAAATTGACTCAATTTTTTATTTGTTTTATAAACAAATCAATGTTCCTTTATAAACGTTTCTTAGTTCATTCACTTGTTCAAATAATGACATCAATACGAAGTATAGAAGACGTATTTACTTCGACTCGTGTTTAATATAATTGTGCTAAATAACTATAACTAATAATGATACCTTCTAATCAACTATACTCTTTTTGGCTTATATTAAATCAAAGAAAACACTTTGAAAGAATTTGCTTGTCATTCCTTCTATCCATCTCTCTCTTTCTCTTTCTCTCTCTCTGTCTCTCTCTCTCTCTCTCTCTCTCTCTCTCTCTCTCTCTCTCTCTTTATATAGAATGTGCCAAAATTCACTTTCTGATCTCTTTTAGATTCTACATTTTGTATAAATAAGTGAAAAACGTTTAATTAGAAAATTATCAATTATTCAAAATAGTTCGTTTTCTAAATCAAATATGAAAAATTGTATTCATTTAAGTAATTATTTACGTCACATCATTATTTTTTTTTTAAATATAAATGATAAACTCACTTACAAAATTACTTCTAATTCTATAAATTTAACAATTACTTTCCTAATATAACATTTATGTTCTTCAAATTACGTTAAAATTGTTTCTAAATAGTAATAATTGAGCAATTGGTTTTCATTTTGAAGTTAATTTCTACAATACTCACCTTATCAAAGTGATATAATTATCTCTTATCAAAGTGATATAAATTCTTGTATTAAAATTTAGTTCAAAGAAAAAAAAAAAAAAAAAAAGGAAAGAGAAAAAGAAACGATGTAAAAATAATTAGAACTACAATATATGATTTTTTGAAATAAGAGACTCTTAGCACAACTTGTATTAATTTTTTTTTTTTTACTTACAGAGAACGAACAGCTTTTATAATAAATTTTCTTTCTCTCTTACTCTCTCTTTTCTCTCTCATTATTTAACTCTTTTACATATTCTCGGTAATTCGATTTTCCTTTTGAATAAGAAACAACATCATGCTTTTCATTGAATCATTTTTGTGAGAGTCAAGTTATAGTGGTTACTCTATGTTATAACACATTACTATAGTCGGTATTATTAACTCGCTTCTGCAAGTACTGGTGTTTTCACAATTTTCGAAAACACCAGGAAAATTCTAATTACGATGATTAAATTTTACGAGAATTCCTTCTTCCACTCTTTTATGTGTTCCTTATATAAACGTAAAGTAACGAGAAGTTGACTAATTTGTCAAGACAAACAAATCATCTTCCGTGTATATTTATACATATGTATGTATGTATGTTTATTTGTATGTAAGTATGTATGTTTGCATTTATGTATGTGTACGTGTGTATATATTCATATGTACACATATGTAAATTATCTTACGTATATACATGCATGCATATAAATACATGCATACATATATATATATATATACATATGCATGCATGCATGTATGTATATATATTAAAATCAATTTTTTGTTTCCTTTTTTTTTCTTCTTTTTTCCTTCCTCGTAAGAAGAATTGATTTTGCTTTTGGTAATCTTACGATCCTTTTCTTTTTATTTTTTTCCTTTTTTTAATTGCTTTTATCAATCTCATATCTTGCAATATCTTTCGCGCTATTTTTTCTTCCAGTCATTCATCACATAGATATTTAATATAACATTACGTTGTTGTTGTTATTATTATTACTATTATTATTATTATTATTATTATTATTATTATTATTATTATTATTATTATTATTATTATTATTATTATTATTATTATTATTATTATTATTATTATTATTATTATTATTATTATTATTATTATTTATATGAATATGGGCTATATGATGATGTTTACAGAACATTAACTTGATTAATTATAAAATAACTTTGATAATTTGTAAAATGAATGAACGAATGATTATAAAAAAAATTTATAATTTCGTAAGATAAATCACGAAAGAAAAGTTTTGTTGCTTCATGTGAAACATATTGAGATTAATATATAAATTGATTTTTTTTTTTTTTATATCTTATAAATGATCCTTCAAAATTATTTTTGAAACATTCCAATTTAATCAATTATTCGATTTATAAAAAGAAATGAACAAATGGTTATTACAAAAGATTTGTGATTTTCTGGTTTGCTGATTTATTGATTATTTGTTTTCTTTTTTTTTTCGTTTTCTTCATTCGAAAAATAATTCTTCGAAAATATTTCCATTATATGAAAAACTAATATGAATTAGAGGAAAAAAAAAGGAAAATAAAATAGAAGCAAAGAAAATCGACTTTGAATTTATCGTCTGAGTAATTTTATCGTATTTTTAATCGCATTAAATCCATCAAACCCCAAGGGTATTACCAATGACGCATGTAACATATACGATCATAACATACAACAAACACACGTTTTGTGCAAGAGAGAAAAATAGAAAAATAATTTTCTAATTAAGAAAAAAGAGAGAAATAAAGAAAAAGGGAGAGAGAGAGAGAGAAAAAAAAATAAAGAGAGAAAGGAAAAAATAAAGAGAGAAAGAATGTTGAGGTTCTACGTAATTTTTATCGCATATATAATAAATGAGTACAGCAAATAATGCCAAAAGCAGTTCTTAAAAATTGTATATAAAAAAAACGACGGAAAGAAAGATAGATAGAGAGAGAGAGAGAGAGAGAGAGAGAAAATGAAAATAAAAAAATATCCACAACTTGTCGTCTATAGAACAACGTTGTAGCTGAACATGGCATTTAAACGAATTAGGTGAATAAAACGTTAATGAAGACGATGAGAAAAATGTGAGAATAAAAATGAATGGACGAATGTAAAAAAAAAAAGAATCAATGAAATTGGTCTATCTTTCTGTGTATGAATGTACTTTCTGTGCATGTATGTACGTATGTATATATGTATGTATGTATATGTATGTATGTATGTATGTATGTATGTATGTATGTATGTATGTATGTATGTATGTATGTATGTATGTATGTATGTATGTATGTATGTATGTATGTATGTATGTATGTATGTATGTATGTATGTATGTATGTATGTATGTATGTATGTATGTATGTATGTATGTATGTATGTATGTATGTATGTATGTATGTATGTATGTATGTATGTATGTATGTATGTATGTATGTATGTATGTATGTATGTATGTATGTATGTATGTATGTATGTATGTATGTATGTATGTATGTATGTATGTATGTATGTATGTATGTATGTATGTATGTATGTATGTATGTATGTATGTATGTATGTATGTATGTATGTATGTATGTATGTATGTATGTATGTATGTATGTATGCATACATGTATGTATATATGTATGTATAAGTGTATGTGTGAGATAGATTAAATAAGAGGGATATAATATGTAAAATTGATAAAGATGATAAAGAACAAAGAAAGAGAGAAACAAAAATAGAACAAAAAAAAACTTAAGAAAATAAACAAAGATCAGAGAAATTGTTAATGAATAAACGTTAGAGACTGTCTTAGAGTATGTTATCTTGCTTCCAAAAGAATTAAAAAGTAAATTTGTAATACATTATTTCGTCGAAGCACGATCCGAGAACTGTTATAATAAAAATTATCTTGCTCCCTCGTTTCTGAGTGAGTATTTCATCTTTCTTTTATTTTTTTTCTTTCTTTTCCTCTTTTTCCTTTTATTATTTTTCTCTTACATGACAGATAATAGATTTCAGAGGCTCACACGCAACATCAACAACAATAAGTATATTATTAGCAAAAGCATAGTACGCTTTATTTATTATATATATTAATATTAAGTAATTAACAATCAAATAATTATGCTTAAATACATGTGTACATTATATAAAATGTTGTTTTTATAAATAATACTGTATATATATATATATATATATATATATATATGTATATATATATACATATATGTATGTATGTTTGTATGTATTCAAAAATATATTATTTAATTAATAATGTAATAAAAAAATAATTAAAGTTTTTAACATTATTAATATATTAATATATTATTAATATATTAAATTATTAATTAAATAATATATAGACTTATACATATGTATGCATTTAAACTTTGGAATTATTATTCTTTTCATTCATATATATATATATATATATATATATTTTTTTTTTTTCTTTTTTTTTTCATTTAAAATACAAAAACGTGAAATATACGCGAATAATGTTGAAACTTCAACACTGATACGTGATTGGATATACGATGAACGTATTCACCTCGAAAGCCTCGAGTTTAATGTTAACTTAATTCAAAGATGATAAGATTGCTGAAAGAGAAAGAAAGAGAAAGAGAGAGAGAAAATAGTTGTTATCAGCTCGACCTCTTTCAACGAAGACCAACAGGAAAATAAACTCTGATCGATGACTACTCTTCGTTGTCGTATCTCTCCGTTTCTTTCTCTCTCTCTCTCTCTCTCTCTCTCTCTCTCTCTCTCTCTCTGTCTCTCACTCTCTCTTTCTCTCTCTCTCGATTTCTCATTTTCATCCCTAAGTTGCTTTCCTCTTCAACATAGATAAGTTATCAACCCTTCATTTATTTCCAAGACTTCATGTTTCAAAGCTTCTTTCTCATCCATGACGAATTAGAAGGATTAAATAAGTATAGGACCAAATAGGACAGATATTGTAACAAGAAGATCGAGAAAATTTGTCTTTTGGATTAATATTTATTTATCATTTCATATTCATTTCTTTCTTTTCTTTTTTTTTAATAAATTACGTGAGACTTTTTCCACTCTTGTATTACGTGAGACTCTTTTTTCCTTCCTTTTCTTTTTTTTTTTTCTTTTTTTCCCTCTTGATCGCAACGTAAATTATAATATTTAATTTATTTACATTTTCATACTCCTTTAATTCAGATTTTGAATAGATATTTTATATATCAATTTTATTATAAAAATTATGCGAGTTTCTGGTTTTTTCTCTCTCTTTTCTACTTCATCTAACATTTTTGAGAAATATATATATATATATATATATATATATATATATATTCTAAGACTATAACCTGTACAATCATAGATCACATACACTGCCACCTACCCTATAAATCCTAAGTCCTATTAACTCCACTCCTGCGACAAGATCTACGATTGATCGAAATCCTTTCATCCCCAACATAGTTTTTCACATTTCATTTTCCCGAATCTTCGAATTGAAAAGAAAGATCACCGAAGAATAATTTTAAATTATCACTACTAATTTTCATGTTAACGTCCGTCTCAAAATTATATTACCGATATAATAAAAAATCACTTATCCAATTTACGACGTCCCAACACTCTCAGGCATTGGGATGAAATAAACAGTAATCTTATCTCGACTATTAAATATTTTCTACAATATATTTTTCCAACATAAAATCTCCCTATCCTTATCGAGAGATAAATTCCAAGACGTAATATTTACGCTCTACTTCGTATTAATATTTCAACAAACATTTAGATTATCTGTAATCTTTTTATATGACGTGTATATATTTATGTATATATATATATATATATATATATATATATTTTTTTATAAAAATTACGTGAGATTCTATTTGTTAATGTTTTTTTATCTTTTATTCGATCGTAACAGGTTCTATTTGATCATTAGGTTCTTCTATCTGAATTAAGAGTTTTTAAACAAACAAAATACTGTAATAACATTTTGTTATAAAGAGATAATAAGGAAAAAAAAATGGCATATCAGATACAGAAAAATATGAATAGATAAAAAATAAATTACATTCTTTTACATAAATAGGTAAGTATACCTAATTTTAACATTTTCTTTTTTTTTTTTTTTTTTTTTTTTTTTTTTTTTTTTTTTTTTTTTTTTTTTTTTTTTAATTATATACTGATTTAACGTTTTTATTGTCATTGAATTATTTTTATTGGCATCAAATAAAAATAATTTGATTTCATTAGAAAAAAAAAAAAAAAAGAGAAAAGAATCTATTTTTATCGGTAATATTATCGCGATAAATTGTCAACCTCAGCAATAATTTCTCCGTATCATTCTTTATCGTTTACTATCGATCAAAGAAAAAAGAAAGTACACGAAAAATTATTGTTTGAGATAATCGATATTTATAAATCAATGGAAAATATCAATGTTTAATCTCTATTTCTTATAAATTATTATATTATTGTTTTTATTTAAACAAAAACGATTCCTTCGTATTGATGATTAGTAACAATTAACGAACGAATAAATTAATTATACAGATCAAGAAGTTAAAAGGTAACGAAAGAAAATAGAAAGAAAAAAATGGAGGAAAATAAAAAAAAGATAAAAATAATCTTTATACCACTTCGATGTAAAGATTAAGCAACCAATCGATTCTTATTAAAAATAAAGGCATCTTATCTAGATACCTTTATTAAATCGCAAATTCATATTTCGCATTATCATATCGTGATCCAATAGTTAAAATATATCGATATACGTATAATCGAAATGATTTACATGGATCTACAATAACTCGTATCTAATGAAAGAATGAAAGAAACGTTATAATAATGTTTTCTGAAAGCGAAAACGTTATTATTGACGAAAGAACCTTGTAATGTCAGTTTTATATCAGTTTGACATGATAATATTTCGAAAAACATAGAATTTTAATTTAATATAGAATTTTTACCATTTTTTCATATAAAATAATACTATGATTTAATTGAATAGTTAACATGTATTTGTGTATAAATCAAATACATAGTTCGATATGGTTTTTATTGCATTATTACTTGCACATTCCACGATTAAGCAATAGTTAATTAAATACATTAATGATAGTTGGAAAAAATAAGCGAATACATTTTTTAGTATTTTCTTTTTTTTAATTTGATTTGATCGAATAATACACATGCATATGTAATAAATTATAAATAAATAAATATACATATGCATATGTGTATGTGTGTATGTGTGTGTGTGTGTATGTGTGTATGTGTGTATGTTTGTATATAATAGATCAAATACGTCATTCTACATGATTCTCCTTTATTTTTACTTTTCACATTTCCTCTTTCATTGAATAATACACACATACACAAATATATATAATTTTGTAAAATAAAATAAATAAATATTTGCTGCATAATATTTTCACACTAAATAATACTTTCATTTAATCCAATAATACATACACATACATATACATATAATAAGTCATTCGATATGATTTTCTCATTACATTATTTCCACATTCCACGAATAAGCAATATTATCGGAAAAATAAACTTACATATAGAGGAAAAGTGGTAGTATAAAAAAAGTGGGGATTCAAATTGATAAGACAGAACCAGTAGGAAGGAGAAAGATAAGGATTTCGGTCTGACGAGAATAGTATGTATTATATATGTATGTATGTATGTATGTATGTATGTATGTATATGTATGTATATGTATGTGTGTATGTTTGTGTGTGTGTGTGTGTGTGAGAGAGAGAGAGAGAGAGAGTGTGGGTATGTGTGTGTGAAAGAGAAAGAGAGAAAGAGAGATAGAGGGAGTAGAAGAGAGGGAAAATAACAAAGCTCAGTGCACGATATACTAAAACGCCATATTTTGTAACGGGATGAAAACAGAAAAGGACGGATCGGTAACGAGTAAATACGATTTAACGTTTGAAAAGTGTCGAAAGTAATAGTCGAAGATAAAGGCTTCGTGTGTTTGTTAATTGTAACATCTCGTTTGGAGAGATTACATCAAACGCTTGTAATCGTTCATTGGAATATTTAGTGACTATATCGAGGAAATTTAATTAATTAACAAATTGGACCATTCAACGACATGCTTTATAGGGTTTAAAAGGACAACGATTTTTTTCTCGGCTATTATTGTGTACGTATCTTCTTCTTCTTTTTTTTTTTCTTTTCGACATTTATTTTGCTTTTTCTTTCGTCTGTTTATACATTTATTTCTCCTTTTTTTTTTTTTTTTTTTTTTACTACTGTCATTTCTATTCTTTTATTTTTTTCCTTTTAATTTTTATTTTCCGATATCTTCTTTTTCTTTTTTCTTTCCTCCTTTCCTTTCCTTTTCTTTTCTTTTTTTTTCTCTTTTTTTTTCATTTAAATATCTCGTTTTCGAAATATCATTTATTTATTTATTTATTCGTTCTTTTTTTTTTCTTTTCATTACTTATATCTTTTTATTATTTGCAGTTTTCATTTCTTTTTTCTAATATGTATATATATATATGTACTTTTTTTTATTTCAATCATAAATATCTCGTTTTTTCTACTTTCATTCCTCATTATATCTTTTTTGTCAAATATCTCCTCTCTTTCAATAGATTATATCTCTCTTTTCTTTTTCTTTTTCATTATTATTATAGCTATTTATTATTTCGAAATCATGCCATTTTTAAATTCATACAATTCGTCTTAACCTTACCTTTATTTCTTCACGCATATTTTATCTAACATTTACCTTTTGTTAATAACTTTGTTTTGTTAATAACGTTTGTATAAGTATTATATACATTTAATTTTAAGTGCATGCTATTACATGTATAAATAAATAAATAAATAAATAAATAAATAAATAAATAAATAAATAAATAAATAAATAAATAAATAAATAAATAAATAAATTTATATATATATATATATATTATACGTATGTACATATGTCTTTTTTGGCCTTGTGTTTTTTCGTTTTAAACTTTTTATTTTTTATTATTTTTTCTTTTTCTTTCTTTTTTTATTTTTTTTGTTCAAGAGAAAAAGAATTAAAAAAATGAAAATGAAATGTGAGAAAAGAGGTCGTCAACAACTTCTGTGAACATTGAAATTCTTTCCTGTTTTTCTTTTATTTTTTTTTATTTTTATTTTTTTTTTTATTTTTATTTCTTTTTCTTAACGAATCCTTTTAATGAGACTTCTTTCATGGATCCTCTCACAGTATTTCTTCGAGTAGACAACGAAATTTATTCATTTTATTTTTATGTTTGTGTATAACATATATATACGTACTGAAAGTTTTTCTCATTATTAAAATATACGGTTGCGTGGGATTATATAAATTACTTAAGTAATGCATGTTAATATAAATAAGTCGAAAAATAAATATTAACAGATCGTAATAATTTTTGAAGAGTAATTTTAACTGTACGAAATATCACCAACAGTAGAGATATTTATTGTCCTTATTTGAATTAATAATAAATTAATTTAACTTCACTAATATATCTTTCTTTATTGAATTAATAATGAATTATCAATAGCTATCAGAAAAATTAAATCATTAAAATTATAAACTAAAAATGAAAAGCTTTGATTAGAACAAGTAGAACCATTCTTATGTTTAATTCAGGACAAAAATGAATAAAAAAGAAAAAGAAAGGCTTTAATTGAAATTATTTAATTCGATTATTAATCGAGTATCTCATTCTTTAGGTAATTAAATTAATTTAATATAAATTATATACCTAATATCATAAAGGACTCATAGAATTCAGATGCATTAATAACACGCTATTATTAGATAAATTAATAATAAATATATTTGAATCATTTTTTAATGAAAATAGAATCTCTTTATAAATTGTTAAAAATAATATTATTAAAAATCAAACGTATATATATTTTCCTTTTAATGTGTGAAAAAAAAAAAAACTTCAAAAGTCATTAATTAATTCATAAATCCATAATTGGTAAGTAAGTATACACGAATGAAAAAAAAAAAAAAAGAAAAAGAAAGAAGTAAAAAAGAAGAAAAGAAGAAAGTTATAATATCATTGACAATAGGAAAATCTTGTAATTAAAATGGCGCACGTCTCGTCGTTTCCATTATTATATTTATTTTTCTTCATTTCTTTTTTTTTCCGTATACGAGAGATCTCATCTGTTGGCTGCTTTTCAAGATCTACTCATCGGTTGCGTCTGACAGAAAGTCAATAAAAAGGAATACCGCGATAATCTTTGCAGACGTCGCGTCGAGACGAGAAATTAGTATTCGATCTTCTTTCCTTCTTATAAAAAAAAAAAAAAAAAAAAAAAAAAGAAACGAAAAGAAAAAAATAAAAAAGAGAAAAACAAGAGGAAAACCTTCGAAGAGGAAGGAAAATTTTATGTCGACTACATTAAAATCCACATTATATGTAGTCAAGATAAAATTTTGTAATATATATTTATAATATATAAATACGTATTATAAAATGTGCGTGTAAATCTAATACGTCTAAAGTTCATAGATTCTTTTTCTTTTTTTATTATATTTATATTATTTATATTACGTTTAGATTATATATATATATATTTAACTAATTTAATAATAATAATATATATATATATATATATGTAAATAAAATATAAAAATAATATATAGAACATAGAATTTAGATATTTTAGATCTGCATCATATATATATATATATATATATATATATATATATATATATGTATATTATTTATATAACTTTTCTGTATATTTTTATATAATTTTTTATAATTTTTAACTAATTAAACAATATAAATAAAAACACAAAACAAAATAAATATACTACGAATCTAAAATATTTTTATTTCTTATATGATATAACATATGTACTATACTATTAGTTATAAAAATACATAAAAATTATCTCGACAATCGAATCGTTATCTGTATAATAATCAGGATTTTTTTCACTGACGTTATCGATAGAGATAGAAATCGTTGTTCCAAAGTACTTTGTTCTTCTCTCTCTCTCTCTCTCTCTCTCTCTCTCTCTCTCTCCCTCTTTTTCTTTGTAGATAATCTATAAATGATATAATTTTGATCTCATTGCATAAAATAGAATTACGATAGACAATCTGTGTACAACCAGGAAAGAAATTATATCGTGCTTAGCAATTAAAAACTAGTTTACTCGGGCACGTTTATGAGTGTCTTACATAAAACTCGTAACAAAATTGATTCTAAGATCATTTAAAGTTAGCACGAAAATGAAATCTTAGTTATGCGATCGTTACAAGAAGAGAGAAATAGCAAAAAAAAAAAAAAGAAAAAAGGGTCGAAAATCGAATCTATGAACCAATCATCTGATTCGCGTAAAAATCATGTGAGAAAATTGCACATTCGCATTTTTATCTCTGCAAGAAAATACATTTTATTTATTCCATCACTCTCTCTCTCTCTCTCTCTCTCTCTCTCTCTCTCTCTCTCTCTCTCTCTCTCTCCCTCTCTATTATGATTTTTAATATCCTAAAAAAATTTTCTTCAGATTCTTAACAATCCGGTTTCTTCGTATTTAAACAAAATAATTATATCATTTAAAACATATATATATATATATATATATATATATATATATATATATATGTATGTATATATATATGTATATAAAATATACAGTATAAAGTATAATTTATACTATATGAACTGAAAAATAATTTTAATTTCAAAATACGATATAATATAAACAAATAAAACAAATGACATTGAAATTACATGGCATTATAAAGGATTAATACCACCACTTATACTGATATTAATTAATCCTTACAATTTCTTTCTTTTTGTATTAAATTATTATTAACTTTGACATTGGTTTATACTTTTTCTTTTACGTTCAATATTTATTTTCTTTTCTCTTTTTCTTTTTTCTTCTATTACGATCAGTAAAATAGTTTTACATAAGAAAGTTCAATAACAGCTGCAGCGGGATTCGTAAAACGAAAGAGAAAGTATATTGGGAAAGAGAAAGAAAGAGAGAGAGAGAGAGAGAGAGAGAGAGAGAGACAAACGATATGCTAGTAAAAAGAAAAGAAATAGAAGAAAAGAATATTCTAAGGAAAACATTGTTTTCACAAGCGCGGTAGAAAATCAGGGATTGTCTTGACAGATTCTTCAAAACTACGAAAAAGAAAGAAAGAGAAGAGAAGAGAAGAGAGAGAAAGAGAGAGAGAGAAAGAGAAAGAGTAACATAAAGGATGATCGTTTCATGTTTGAAAAATGAACGATGCAATGCTTTGTAAAAAAAACTTGAAAAAGAATGTACGTTGATTCCTGAAAATAAATAGTTTTCTTCCATCGAGGGAAAAAATGATCAAACAAATAAAAGAGATAGAAATAAGGCGAAATTACTTATATATATATATATATATATATATATATATATATATATATATATATATTACTTATATATTATATATACTGATATATATATATCAGTGTATATATGTATGTGTGTATATATATGTGTATATATGTATGTATGTATATATATGTACATATATATGATTTAAAGCCTCATTATGTTTCATTTCAAATCTGACTTCTTTGTTTTCCTTTTTTCTTTTTTTAAGCAGACACTATTATTATTATTATTACTATTATTATTATTACTATTATTACTATTATTACTATTATTATTATTATTATTATTACTATTATTACTATTATTACTATTATTACTATTATTACTATTATTATTATTATTATTATTATTATTATTATTATTAATTTTTTTTCCGGAGAATAATGGACAATGGGTAAATTATTCATTGTATAAATAATAATTTAGTTTTTTTATTATTTTCATGAAATTTGATGTCTTTGAATTTGAAATTTGATGATTTTGAATCGAAAATAATTTTTATTGAAAATATGGATGAACTTCGTTTTCGGTTTCTATAGCATAAATAAAATACTTTTATTTCCTATTGAGATTATCTAAGAGAAATTATATAATAAAGTCTAAACAAAATAATTTCTAATAATTTATCACGTGTTTTATATCAAGTTTTTATTTTTTTAATTACAATTTAGATATGTATAGGAAAAGATAATAATAATAAACACGCAAGGAATTCAAATATTTTCTCTCTCTCTCTCTCTCTCTCTCTCTCTCTCTCTCTCTCTCTCTCTCTCTCTCTCTCTCTCTCTCTCGTTATTTTCATTGGTTAATTCTATTGTTATCTATGAATGAATAAAAATGTATTATCATTTAGATATGAAGTAAATATAAAAAAGAAGAAGCAAATAGGATCATCAAGATTCTAATAAATACTATATGAGTTAGGTTATATATACAACAGGCATATGCATACGCATGTAAATAGATTAACAGATACATATATATATATATACATTTATATTTTTTACGTAATGATGAATTGCGTTGTAAGAAACTTAGCTTCTTTATCTTCCAATCTTAATCTTCGTGATAATGTCAAAGATCTTGCATTCAAGGTTTAGACCCAATGACATATATTCTTGGAATAATGATCAATCTTTGATTTTTAAATATATTAACTTTCTTCTTATTTTTATTTTTAAGAGTATCATAAAAATTTCGTAAACTTATCGAAATTTTTTTTAAAGTCCTCGTCATTTTTCAAACGCTCAAATTGATTATATCTTAATTTGTATGCTTTATCGGGAAAAAATGTTCTTTTTTTCTTTCAGACAAATTTATCATCAGAGATAAAAAACAAATTCATACAAACAAAGAAACAATCAAAAAAATCGATAATACTTGTTACTATTATGAGTACTCAATAAAACTTGTTACTGTATGAGTTTCTCAAGATTTCGTGCGATTATTAGAATCACAATGTGATAATTGCAATTCTTCAAAGAACTTGAAAAATTTTTGAATGGACAATGGATAAAATAAAATGATTAAATAAATTTTCATTCCTTTTTATATATATATTTTTTTTTTAATGTACAGAACAACAAATATAAAAAACAATTAAAAAATATTTAAAATATAACGAGACTTAAATTATAATAAATCTTTGAAGTTGATCCAAGACAAAATACAGTGGAAATTTGCAAGGAACTTTAGCGCCACGGTTCAGTGATCCTTCGAAGCTTCTTTGGCCCCAGTCAAGAGAAAGAGAGAGAGAGAGAAGAGCGAGAGAGTGAGGGGGAGGAGAGAGAAAGAGAGAATTTCCGTGAATTTCAGTTCGCCCGCATTTGCAAATAAATTTTACGCCATAGCTATCGATTTCCGCCAGGAATTGGGACAATCGACTCTCTCTCTCTCTCTTTCTCTTCCTCCTTCTCTTTCTCTTTCTCTTTCTCTCTTTCCCTTTCTCGAGACAACACTTAGCCTTATACCAAATGCATCCTATCTTCAAAGAAGAATGATGGAAGGATATCGACTTTTGGAAAATAAAAGTTAGATTGATTCAATGAAAAACGGAAAACGGATTTGAAATTTCCTTTTTTTTTTTTTTTAACAAGTTCGAAACATTAAAAGAATAAAAAGTCGAAAAATGAGATAAGTTCAATAATGATATATAATGTTGTGACGTAACCTTTTCTAATTTGTCAAGTTCAATTAGGAATAAAAGAAAGAGAGGAGAGAAAAAATATTAGATAAAACATTTAATTTTGCATTGTTTTCTTCTCTTCTTTTTTTCTTTTCTTTTTCTTTTTTCTTTTTCTTTTCTTCTTTTTCTTTTTTGAACATTCATTTATAACCTTACAACAATTTTCTTTTCTTAGTAAAATGCATTTGAGAGATAAATAAGCATATAAATATTATTTGTCTTTGTACGCGATCCTCGCAAATAAGAAATTACAAAAGAATAAGGAATTTAATTAGATGAAGATGATAAAAAATGAAATCACACTGAGTTGTTTGAAATTCGCTCGCAATTAATAACAGCGCCATCTACCATTGAAAATAAAGATCGCTTTATTATCGAGGATCAGTGGATATTTTACGTTACAATGCGATAGATGGAATATTTTTAATTTTCTTATTTTATTTTAACATCGACAAAAATTAATATACGAATATGTGTTTAGAAAAGCACACTATTATCGTATTATAACTCTAATTTGTTATTTAATCATTAGAAGAAAAAAGGGAACTCTTTTCGAAGACAGTCATGTTTTTATTGAATATTATAATTGCACTACCTTACCGACCAACAATATTAGAAATCGTTTCTCAATCGAGCATAAGTGACAACTTGTTTCGAAATACAATTTTTCTTGTGAACAATATTGTTATTAAGTAAAAATTGCAGTATGCTACGTCGACTTATGGATTGTTATAGCTACGTAAATTAGATTATTGTTACTCGAAAATAGTACAAAATTTTTAATTAATGTTATACAACATACGAAGTTACATTATTGAAAATAATCTTTCTTTTTATCTTATAAAATAATAACAATAGTAATAATAATAATAATACAAAAAATATTGCTACGTTTAACCATATTCGAAGTTTAGTGGTATTAGGAGAAGCTTAAAATTTTCATTGTTTTTCAACAATAATCTCTTAAAATAATACAATCAAAATGATAGAGGAAAATGTTTACGAATCAAGGCCAAGTGTATTTAATTACACTGAGGTTTGTATTTTTTAAATAGAATAGTCATTTTTATTATGTGTTATATTATAATATTGTTATTGAGCAGTATCTGCTAATGACTATATTGCTTAGTCTGATTTCTGCTGTATATTTATATTGTTTGAATTTATGATCAAAGTTTATTAATATACGCTGTTATTTAATAAGTATCTAATAAAATATTTTCTTTATTTTTTAGGCAGACGACAGAACACCATTACTACCAAATACTGAAAGCAATATGGCAGAAAAAACAGCCGGAATTTCTCAAGAAACCCTTGTTTCCCAAGGTGGGCAAACAATCAAAGCAAAGAGGCTTCCTCAATATATTGCAAGTTTAGCAGCTACATTAGGAGCTGTGGCAGCAGGAATGACATTAGGATGGACCTCACCAGCTGGATTAAATGGTGTCAATTTAAAAACTATATCTGATGTTCCTATTAGTTTAGAAGAGTTCTCATGGATCGGAGCACTCACACCACTTGGTGCTGCAGTAGTATGCATACCAATTGGTATTCTTACAGATATAATAGGCAGAAGGCTTTCTATGTTAATACTCACGATTCCTTTTACAATTGGCTGGCTATGTATTATTTTTGCCAACTCTGTAACTTTATTTTATATTGGAAGGTTCATTACAGGTGTTAGCGGTGGAGCTTTTTGCGTGACAGCTCCCATGTACACCGCAGAAATAAGTGAAAGTGAAATTCGTGGAAGTGTGGGTTCATATTTTCAGTTACTCCTCTCTGTAGGTATTTTACTTACGTACCTTTTAGGTACCTGCGTAAATATGTTCTACTTATCTATTATATGTGCAGCTGTACCAATAATCTTTTGTATAATATTCTTCTTCATGCCTGAAACTCCTACATTTTATTTAATGAAGGGAAATGAAAATGCTGCTAGAGCAAGTTATATTCGACTTCGCGGAAATCAATATAATTTTGAGCCAGAATTAATTGCACAGAAAGAGGCATTAGAAGAGTCTAAGAAAAACAAAGTATCATTTCTAACATCATTGAAATCAAAAGCTTGTAAGAAAGCCATAATAATATCGTATGGTCTTATGTTATTTCAACAATTAAGTGGAGTAAATGCTATTATATTTTATGCTGGTTCTATATTTTCTTCAGGAAATAATTCTCTTCAATCTGATACAGCTAGTATCATAGTAGGTGTAATGCAAGTAATTGCTGTATTTGTTAGTACATTGATAGTTGATCGTTTAGGTAGAAGGTTATTGCTTTCAATATCTATTATTGCTATGTTTCTATGTACACTCATACTTGGTGTTTACTATTATATTCAGGAAGAAGGAGATGCAAGTAATATAAGCTGGTTACCTCTTTTATCTATTTGCGTTTTTATAATTTTATTTTCACTTGGGTTTGGTCCTCTTCCATGGATGATGATCGGAGAACTTTTTGCTCCAGAAATCAAAGGTGTTGCTGGCAGTAGTGCTTGCTTATTGAATTGGTTAATGGCATTTATAGTCACCAAAGTTTATTCTAATTTAGTCATTGCTTTACATTCTTATGGTACATTTTGGTTATTCTCACTCATTTCTGCTATTGGTATCGCTTTTGTCCTATTGTTGGTTCCAGAAACGAAAGGAAAAACATTAGAACAAATTCAACGAGAATTAAACGCATAGTTAGGCATTTAGAAGAAATCTCTAATATGTAAAATACATTTTTATGTAAGAGATTAAACATTTTCATATTGCAAGACTGATTCTTTTGTAAATTTTGGAAGTCTGTAATATGTTTTAGACGAATATATATATATATATATATATATATATATATATATATATATATATTATTTATAATAAAAGAGATATATTCTGTACCATTTATAATCGTTTAAATAAACGTATATTGCTATTATTATTATTATAATTATAATTAGAATTTAAACGAAATTAATTTTCAAAATATCTTTTAAAATTCCTGTTGTTAAATAATCGTATTGGATCGATGTGTTACCTAGCGGAAAATCTTTGATACTAATACTTATGTATCCATTGAAAATAGTATTCATATTTGTAAAAATACAAATTAATTCTATTTTTATTTTGAAACATAGTAAATCTGTCGAAGATTTAAAAGCGTATTTTTAATATTATATAGAGAGCACCACTTTCGTATAAATCTATATAAATATTCATACAAATAATATTTTTCTGTTTTTATTTGTACATTATGATATGAAATAAATTACAATAAATAAATAAATTGAATAAGTCAATTTTAGAAATATTTAGTAACACGTTCAAATATATAACAAATCACATTTCTCATAATTCTTGTTCGTTTGATAATAAAAATATCTATAGAACACGAATTTTAATGATTAATGAATTATTAAAACAATTTTATTTTTATGAAAAGTTATTGTGAAAAGCAAAAAAAAAATAAAAAGAAAAAAATTTTCACTCACAATTCTATTTGCGTTTCTTCATACCGTGTATAAGTGAGATATACTAAAAAAATATCTGTATAATGATATTTGATAATATCAGTATAAGTGAGATAGACTAAAAAAAAAGAGAGAGAAACAGATGATCGGAATGATGAAGTGTAGTTGACGAAACGAATCAACGAGAAATAAGACGAAAATAAATGTGTCTCAAAAGAATTTCTGTTATAAATATTTTCTGTTATAATTAATTTGTTTAAATTCATTGTAATAACATTGATAAAATAAATTGATTTTCGCCCGAGTAACTTAATGTTACAAAGCGCAATTTGAATGTTGACAAATGTAAATTTCAAAATTTCGATCATTTATCTTCAAATAAAAAAGCTTAGAAAATAGATTTACTTGTATATCTCAAGCGTCTTATTTATTTTAATATTTAAATACATAGATAAATCTAAGATTTTATATTCACATCGAACATCACCAGTCATAAATAAATCACTAACAGTTGTAATTCCGAATTATTTCATTTTTAAGAAAATAGAAATGTGAAAAGATAAGACTATTTTATTGGGATAAATTTAATATGAAGTGACTTAGACGAATGCAGCGTAAGATTTGCCATCAATTTTACATCATCAAGATCACTCACCGGTTCCAAATGAAAGTTATGCAATATATAAGCTACTATTACTTTTAGCTCGAGCATTGCAAATCTCTGACCTGCAAAAGTAGAGATAACTCAATTATTTATATTCCATTTTTTTATCTTTTTGCATTACTTACCGATACAGTTTCTTGGTCCTGCACTAAATGGGATATAGGAATATGGATGATGGCCTTTCAAATTATCTGGCAAAAATCTATCGGGATCAAAAACTTCGGGATTAGGCCAATATTCTGGATTTCTGTGGATGCTATAGATGTTTATGTTACACGTCGAGCCAGCCGGGATTAAATAATTTTCTGAAAATTATTATTTTTATTTGTTTGATTTGAATGATAAAACGAAGGTGAATCTGATATATAAATATATTATATACTTAGTTGCATATCCTGCGTCAAATGACGAAATATAAGATGAACGCTTGGATATAAACGAAGTGATTCTTTCAAACATCTTTCCAAATACGAAAATTCTTGAAGCATCGGAATCGTCAAATTATAGTTTTCTTGCATAACCGTATTAACTTCGTCTCTTATACGTTTCTATTCATGAACAAATGATTAATTATTCATGGTAGATATCAAATGCATATTCATCGATAAATGTTGAATTCATTTTTAGTGATGAAAACATTACCTGGACATCTTTGTGTTTTGCAAAAAGACTCAATGCAAAGCACAACGCCACTGCAGTAGTGTCGTGACCCTACGAAGATTATTTCCTCAGTTTCACTAATTAATCTAAATATATTAATATACTGGCACTTACCTCAAACATGAAAGTGTCGACTTCTTCTTGGATGCCTTCCACATCGATTATATTTCCTTTCACACAAGCGGATATAAGCAGATCAAGCAGAGCAAGATTCTTTTTGAACATCGGATCTGTGTCGGAAAAATTCGAATAATAATTTTATCGTGATTATAATTTTTTATTAGTAAAGAATGTGGATGAAATACTTTTATTATTATCCACGCGTTCTTCACAAGAGATTTCATTCTCATCCATTTCTTCATAATTATGTAAATATTTTCCATTAGTTTCTTCATGGAATTGTATCCTTTCGGAAATTATCTAACACAAAAATGACAATTTCACAGATCTGAGTGGTTTACTTTAATTAATAATAAAATGATTTATGCATTCAAGGGAGTAACATACTTTTTTCGAAAAACTGTGCAACGTTTTCAATAGTTTCCTTTGTAATCGACCAGATGAAGAAAATCCATATATAATATCGGAATACATCCAAGGTCTCACAAATCTAATAAATGATAATTCTTTTTTAGATATATTTCCTTCTAGCAGCCAATCGAATTTATTCCTGTTAAAAGAATTAATAGTCACCTAGAAGCTATGATATTGCCGAAACTACGAACCGCATCACGATAATTAGACTCTAAGTCGCCCCTCTCCTTCAGAGAGGTACCAAGGGCTGCTTCTGCAAGTGAGCATTTGACAATAATTTTTCTTTGTTATATATCAATGATTAAAAAAGGATACATTACAAACCGCATATTATGTTAAGTGTATGTTGACTGATAAATTCTTGTAAATCTTTCACTACTGAACCTCCTTTTTCTTCCTCTTTTAAAGATGTTATAAGATACCGTGCTTCATTATTTAAAGTGACAACGAAATGTTTCAGGATATTAAAATGAAAGGCTGGTGTCAATATCTTTCGACGTGTTTGCCATTTCTCACCTATCAAATGAAAAATAAAACGTTAAATAATATTAAGCACGATTACTGAATTTCTATTTGTCCAAACTATTACCTCCACTAGTTAGCAATCCGGTAGACAGCCAAGGTCTCAAGAAATTGTAAGCTATTCCTTTTTCAATATTTTTAGTGCTTCTCATAACTACCTACGATCAATTTATATTATATTTTCTTTTTTCCATAAAAATATATTGATAGTGAACATTCGAAATAAGAGAGAGAGAGAGAGAGAGAGAGAGAGAGAGAGAGAGAGACAGAGAGAGAGAGAGAGAGAGAGAGAGGAAGAAACAGATAAAAAATGTAATCTACTCATACCGCATAATAATTTACCTCAATATCATCCGGATGAAGTAAAATTACTATCCACAAATAAAAGGTCCAAATTTTGTAAACTGGATAAAATTTTGCATTTATATCCCAAATTCTTTCGAGGAGATGTTCTAAACAACAAGTATTATATTTAGTGCTAAGTAAGGACTGGATGGAGTAAGAATCACAAGTTAAAATACAATTCGTGCAGACATAGTTTGGTTTAAATGCACTTTACCATTGTCAACTTGAAGATGATGTATATTTCCTATTATGGGATATTCACTTGGTCCAGGAATAGTATTAAATATTCTTCCCATTCTTCCATATCTTATGGTGCAATGCAGTAGAAATAAAATGAAAATTGAACCCAATGAAATAATAAAGAACATAATGTCTGTGGGAAAAGTGAGATTAACTAAATAAACTCATTCGAATAGACTATCTTAACTATCTTAATTACTATCGAAGTTACTATCGTATGCAAACTTGAAAAAATATTTATTATTTATGTATATTAATTATAAGTAAATGTAGAAAACAATTAATGAAAATAATTATCGTACTGATGAGATGCGAAGAAGCTATATAACAGATAAGTGCGACACCTTAATATTCCCATAATGCTATATTTTCGTTTTATTTTTCATTAGAAGTTATGAAAATATAATTAATTTTCTCTCATCTGTCACAAATTTAACAGTCAAATGTAAAAATGAAAATATTGCAAGTTTAGAAACACAATTACAAAGTATATCATATTTCAACGGTAGTGACGAACATTCTACTTTAATAAAAATAGGACACAGTTATGTTACTACAATTTTAAAACGATCGTATAATTATATGAATAAAATTTTTCTAATTAATCCATACATTTTAATACTATTATTTAAAATATCTTACGTGTTTATTAATGATCAATGTAATTATTACAATCAAAGAAAAGTTTTAAAATATATGAATCAAATCATTTTATTTTATTCATTTGATTTATTAGCAAACATATTCGTACATGTAGGCAATATAAACGATTCATTGAAATAGTATATAACAATCAAATGAAATAATTAAAAACAACAAACACGTTTCAGCACACTTACCGTGATCTTTCAGAAAAAGAAACGTTCAACAATATTTAAGTCTCGTTATATCTCACAATTGTAGTACATGTTCCGCTTAAATCTACAAGACGAATAAATAATTCTTATCGAATATTAGTCTTATATACTTGAACAAATATGCATTAAATTACAAGCATTTGAAAAATACAATTAAGAAAAAATTTATCAATCCTATCATTAAACTCAATAATATACTCAAAGCGCAGAAACTTACACTCTTCTTAAAATAAAGTATTTATATCTCTATACTACATAATTTGGATAATATATTTGTTAATTTCGCTGGTAGATAAATAATTATAAATTTTGATAATTAAATAATAAAATGTGGTAATAAATATGATAAATTTAAATTTCGAATAAATATCATATATTAAGAATTTTTTGAACGTAGCATTCAACAATAAATTAGAATACAGTAATAAATCAAAGGTCGAATAGATTAGAATTTTCTTGTCAATAATATTAAAGGCGTAGAATTATTTTGTAATATATATAATATAAATATAAGATAAGGCCTTTTTTTAAAAATTTGATTTTACAGCAATTCAATGATACGAAAACAGAAAAAAGGGTAGATAGGAAATGTAAAAACATAGATATAGATGTAGAAAGACAGAAGACTTTGTTCAGCATTTTTTTTGGCACAGTCAGTTTTTTCAACTTCTTCTCGATCTCAATTTTCTGCTTCTATTTTCTATTACTAGATTCAATAAAACAAAAGCAATCAAGTTAATTCGATATCTTCTTCCAATTGTTCTCGTTCTTATTCGATTGCTTTTTTATATTACGTGAAATGTAAAACATACATTTGTAAGTACGAAAGATATCGTTAATAGGCGATATTGATAATATGTTTCGAGAATGTACACATGCTAGAACTACTTAAAACTATGATATATGAATTAGTAATTATCAATGTAAGTATCCTATACTCCATAACATACAAATTTCTTAATAAAGATATCTAATCTCACTCATTTGCGAAAAGCCGCTCGTCGAAATCGTTATCCATACGTGTTATTCTTATTTTCTTCAATTGATATCTACATATCTACATATGTGTTCAGCTATAAATATATTTATATCTCTTCTGTTGCCCTTTAACATCGATTTTATCCATCGGTTTAACAACTGAGAAATCACTGCTATATACAGTTTTTTCCAAGATATGAATAATTTATTTTCCTCTCCTTTTAGTGCTCTTGTACAAGTCAAATATTATTCTATGACATGAAATATGCATATAAGCAGATTTTTGAAAATCGGTAGTAATAAGGACGATTGTTTTTCATTGTGTTTGGACGTGTTTTGTTGAGTCGAAATCATTATTTCTAGCTGATTCTCTAGCTTGTTTATATCCCTAATATCAATTGAAAACAGCCTGAATTCTGTGGCCCATTGTTAATGCCAGGTAGTCTTTAATGATAATTTCACAAATGATAATTTCTTATTTATTTAGACAATTCAATACTGTTTCTAGACTCCACGTTACGTCGTATTTCGGTTCTACCTACCTTAGTTTGGAGGGGTCTTTACAAAACCTTTTGATACTGGCATTTTAACTAATATCGGGTCCCAAAAGCAGGGTCACAATTGAACTAAACGAGTGATGGATCCGTACATTAGATAAAAATCTTGGTATTTTTGAAATTTCTACTTTAAATGGATCTGTCTGCATTAAACGACAAAATTTCCAGCACCTCTTGAATGTTCCTTCATACTGATCTATTGATGAATCGCTTAACAATGCCTTGCCACTTTTAATGCTTCTGATGGCACTTCTCTTATTGTGTACGCTTGTTCGATAAGATTCCTGCCATCACAGAAAACTGTCCACCAAAGAGGGACAGGCCCCCCCGTCGGAAGAGTATAACAATTGTTTATTAAGTTTAAAGATAGTTGGTTCTGATTCAAACATATTTATGTAACGAGGGTATCAAGTTTGAGAAGGCCAACTTGTGTTAAGAATATCCCTTTATCATTCACACTTAAGATTTTCCTCAAGATTCTTGAGATGAAAACAAAAAGCAAAAACCATAAGCTCCAATTGACAGTGAATGCGACAGCTGTCATCGCATCCGGATTTTTCTTCCATGAAATATATTTATTGCACTATGTGTTTATTCGAACAAGTCTACTTCCGGGTTAGCAAATTTATTACAGATTTTATTAAATGCTTCCTTACTTAACTCGTATTTTGTCTCTGACTTTAGTCTCCTAGATACAAGATCTGCAATCTTATTTTCTCTAAATTGAACATACGAGGATAATATCCAGATATTTCTTTCCCCACATCATTTCCAGATTACTTTTGCCCTATTGCTTAGTCTTTTAAATTGAGAATCTCCCATACGATTAATACAGACAATCGGTGTTGTATTATCAATCCGTAAGAGAATATCACAGTTTCGTCTATTATTTGCAAAACATTTTAATTTAAAGAAAGCTCTAAAGAATTAAAGATGATTAATTGGAGACTCCTTATCGACTTTACTCCAAAAACCATTTGTGGTTTGCCCATCACAATGGGCTTCACATCTCATTAGTGACGCATCTGTAAATATTTCCAGACAATAACTCGGAAATAAATATTTCCTTTTAAAAAAATTATGCAATTAAGTGTTCCAAGGCAAATAAGCAAGAACGGACATTTTGCTGTTTTTTTACAAGCCTTTTATCTTTATTTATGATTGGCTCTAAAAGTGACGATTTTATTTGAGCATTCATATACTGAAGTTCTAACGTTAAACATTTTTCAGGAGTTGGATACTTTCTAAAAAATCATTCGCCTTCCTCTATTGGATGTCCTTCTTTAAGAACGTCTTTCCAACGTAAGCATGTCACTATGAACCGCTGATGTTCTTTCCTTGTCACCATCCAACTGCTTTCCAATTGCTTCTGATTTATTTGGCACCGTTTCTTCATCTGTTTTCTCCGGAGTTTTTTTGTCACTTGAATTTTCAGCTCCATTTGTAGTTAACTGCTGATCTTTAATTTAAGGATCTGCAGCTACTGCTGGTGTTTATTTGTTCGTTGTCCTTTGTAAGCCAGCTGACTTTTCCACTGGCTTTTTAGCTATTTTTTGACTGGGTTTGGGTAAATTTTTTAATATTTGCTCATGAGAAATTAAAGTGTCCTTTTATGGGCAATTTTTCATCTGAGGACTTATCACTCTCTGATGACTCCGTTGACGAGTATTTTCTACCTACCATTGATAGAAAATTTTAATAATGTATCAAGGTTCTAACAATATCTTATTGTCGTTTTTTGTTTGTTTTTTTTTAGAATAATAATAATAATACTTTTATGAATTTTGTTTATCTGTCAGTATTATTTTTAGAGAGAACTAGTCAATTTTTTTGGTTCTCGACCAAATAAATTATTTTATATCAATAAATTATGTAACTGACAATTATTTATGAGAGAAAACTTGTTCACTCTTAAATATAGGAACTTGATCTAATTACTGAAAAAGATGAACTAAAAAACATCACAGTTATAGGTTATACTTACTTTTTGCTTTAAGACATTAATTTGTTCTTCTTGATCACTCAATTCTCTTTTCATAGATTTCAACGATCTTAATAAATTATTTTCATCATTTTTATGATACTTTTCTTTTTGTATCCTATTTTTATTTCAATTCTTATGTCTCTGAAAGTTGAATAATTTTAATTCTAATACGGTTTTTCTTGCAGAATTAAAGAAATGATATTATCGACCGAACGCCATACGACAAGGAATGGTGGCGTGGCGGGAAAGATGTTTGCTTTAAAAATGTGATGAGATTTGTACTTAGTAAGGGTACAAACTAGTGATCGGACGAAGAGGTGCGCAATACAATTTCGTCCATTGCAAATTCTACTATGTATACCTAGAGAGTGTTTAAAACTTGAATAAAAGGTGGGTCTGAAAATCTTCTTTTCTCTCCGCAAAACAGGACGAATTCTTATGCACTTTATAATACATATACACATATATTGAGCATTATTTATATCTAAATATACTATACATTCGACAACTGTTGGCCCTGCAAAGTCGAAATACTTAACTGTTCATCAAAGACGACATCGTTTGAGAACAATCCAATCATTACCTTTAATCCAAAATATACGAATTAAATCACTTTCATTTATTCGTTTGATTTGTTAAAAAGACACACCTTCACACGTAAACAATATTGAGAAAAACTTGCAATAATATTTAACAATGAAAGAAAAAGATTATTATACTACATTTACAGAATTCGCACTTACTCTCGGAAATATAACTGCTTAAGACAAGATACGTTCGATCATTGATTCGTTGTAACATGAAATGAATAATTCTCCAGGAATATAGATAATATTAAAAGAACGTCAGCCTTGTATATTGATATACTCGTGTACAAATCCGTGTTAAAAATTATAATTGATTTTAGAATAAAGTAACACTCGATTTATAGTGTTAAATCGTGAAAATCCTGGCTCTTGATATTCTTATATCTATGTTTATAGTCCATGATCTTTTTTTTTTAAATGCATTAATCAAGTAAGAAACACGATAAATGTGCTTGACGGATACGGTAATGTACCTTTATAAATCAACACTTATTACATGCAGATATCAATGGACTTTAAGCCGTGACCAGACATCGATCAGAATTGAAGATATTCATTCAAATCCATGTGAAAATCGAATATATCGATGATTTTATTTACAAAGAATATATAAAAATAACAAGTAGGTATGTGTAAGATTTTATTAATTAAATATTCAATTCTATTTAATTCAATGAAACGGTGAAAGATAGAATGATAGAGCGAGTGAGTAGAAGAGGATGAAAGAGAGGATGAGAAAGAAAGTGGGGGAAAGAATGATAGAAAGAATGAGAGAAAGGAAATTTTTGAATCATGAATTAATGGCTAGTATGATAAGTCGAGTGTCTTATACAGACATGATATCCTCGTAAAAAAAATGACAGTTATATCTACACGCGAAGTTAAAGACATCTTGCGATAGAAATATTCCCAGTGATGAAATTATAGTTTCCATCACCCAGTTTCTTTTTTCTACTCTTCTTCCATTAATATTTATTCGCATAACTGTAATTTTTTAGGAGTCATGTATAGACCATGTAGGTAAATATTTTCAAATCGTTATTATTAGATTCTATTAATGTTAATTCAATTTGATTTTTGATTTTACGACGCTTAATTTATTTCACACGTCAAGAACAATTTTTTAACTATTTAATGTAAAGATTACATTTCTATTTCTTCTATTTTTTCAATTCTAGAAAGATAGAATTTCTAGAAAGATCCTATTTTATTGGTATAAATTTTACTTGAAGGGGCTTGGTCGAATGCAGCGTAACATCTTCCAACATTTTTACGTCCTCAAGATTACTCACCGGTTCCAAATGAAAGTTATGCAATATATAAGCTACTATTACTTTTAGCTCGAGCATTGCAAATCTCTGACCTGCAAAAGTAGAGATAACTCAATTATTTATATTCCATTTTTTTTATCTTTTTGCATTACTTACCGATACAGTTTCTTGGTCCTGCACTAAATGGGATATAGGAATATGGATGACGGCCTTTCAAATTTTCTGGCAAAAATCTATCGGGATCAAAAACTTCGGGATTAGGCCAATATTCTGGATTTCTGTGGATGCTATAGATGTTTACGTTACACATCGAGCCAGCCGGGATTAAATAATTTTCTGGAAATTAATATTTTTAGTTGTTTGATTTGAATGATAAAACGAAGGTGAATCTGATATATAAATATATTATATACTTAGTTGCATATCCTGCGTCAAATGACGAAATATAAGATGAACGCTTGGATATAAACGAAGTGACTCTTTCAAACATCTTTCCAAATACGAAAATTCTTGAAGCATCGGAATCGTCAAATTATAGTTTTCTTGCATAACCGTATTAACTTCGTCTCTTATACGTTTCTATTCATGAACAAATGATTAATTATTCATGGTAGATATCAAATGCATATTCATCGATAAATGTTGAATTAATTTTTAGTGATGAAAACATTACCTGGACATCTTTGTGTTTTGCAAAAAGACTCAATGCAAAGCACAACGCCACTGCAGTAGTGTCGTGACCCTACGAAGATTATTTCCTCAGTTTCACTAATTAATCTAAATATATTAATATACTGGCACTTACCTCAAACATGAAAGTGTCGACTTCTTCTTGGATGCCTCCCACATCGATTATATTTCCTTTCACACAAGCGGATATAAGCAGATCAAGCAGAGCAAGTTTCTTTTTGAACATCGGATCTGTGTCGGAAAAATTCGAATAATAATTTTATCGTGATTATAATTTTTTATTAGTAAAGAATGTGGATGAAATACTTTTATTATTATCCACGCGTTCTTCACAAGAGATTTCATTCTCATCCATTTCTTCATAATTATGTAAATATTTTCCATTAGTTTCTTCATGGAATTGTATCCTTTCGGAAATTATCTAACACAAAAATGACAATTTCACAGATCTGAGTGGTTTACTTTAATTAATAATAAAATGATTTATGCATTCAAGGGAGTAACATACTTTTTTCGAAAAACTGTGCAACGTTTTCAATAGTTTCCTTTGTAATCGACCAGATGAAGAAAATCCATATATAATATCGGAATACATCCAAGGTCTCACAAATCTAATAAATGATAATTCTTTTTTAGATATATTTCCTTCTAGCAGCCAATCGAATTTATTCCTGTTAAAAGAATTAATAGTCACCTAGAAGCTATGATATTGCCGAAACTACGAACCGCATCACGATAATTAGACTCTAAGTCGCCCCTCTCCTTCAGAGAGGTACCAAGGGCTGCTTCTGCAAGTGAGCATTTGACAATAATTTTTCTTTGTTAAATATCAATGATTAAAAAGAGATACATTACAAACCACATATTATGTTAAGTGTATGTTGACTGATAAATTCTTGTATATCTTTCACTACTGAACCTCCTTTTTCATCCTCTTTTAAAGATGTTACAAGATACCGTGCTTCATTATTTAAAGTGACAACGAAATGTTTCAGGATATTAAAATGAAAGGCTGGTGTCAATATCTTTCGACGTGTTTGCCATTTCTCACCTATCCAATGAAACATAAAACGTTAAGTATTATTCAGCACGTTAAATAAATTTTGATTCATTCAAACTATTACCTCCACTGGTTAGCAATCCGTTAGATAGCCAAGGTCTCAAGAAATGGTAAGCTATTCCTTTTTCAATATGTTTAGTGCTTTTCATAAGTACCTGCGGTCAATTTATGTTATATTTCTTCTGTTTCATAAGAATATATTGATAGTGAATATTCGGAATGAGTGGAAAATAGATAGAGGTAATGATAGAGAGAGAGAGGAGAGAGAGAGAGAGAGAGGAGAGAGAGAGAGAATGAGAAAGAGAGAGAATGGGAAAGAGATAGGGAGAGAGAGAAAGAAAGAGAGGAAATGAGAAACATATGAAGCGTTTTCTTTTTTTGCCCCCAAATCATTTACCTCAATATCATCCGGATGAAGCAAAATTACTGTCCAGTACCAGAAGCACCAAATTTTGTAAATTGGATAAAATTTTGCATTTGATGCCCATAGTTTTGCAAGGGTACTTTCTAAAATAAAATAATAAATTTTAAATTAAGGAAGAAATGCACCGAATTGAAAGAATTTTACTTTCGAAAAAGCTTACCATTGTCAATGAAAAAATGATGTACATTTCCTATTATAGGATATGCATTTGGTCCCGGAATATTATGAAGAATTCTTCCCACTCTTCCATATCTTATAAAGCAATGTAGTAGAAATAAAATGAAAATTGAACAGAATGCAATTGTAAGGAACATTATCTGTAGGAAAATTAAAATTAACTGAATAAACTCATTCGAATGTACTATTGCATGCAAATTTGAGAAAACATTCATTGCTTATATATATTTACTTAGTTAAATGTAACAAGCACTCTACAAATATAATTATTGTATTGCTGAGATATGCAAAGAAGCTATATAACAAATAAGTGCGATACCTTAATATTCCCATAATGCTATATTTTCGTTTTATTTTTCATTAGAAGTTATGAAAATATAATTAATTTTCTCTCATCTGTCACAAATTTAACAGTCAAATGTAAAAATGAAAATATTGCAAGTTTAGAAACACAATTACAAAGTATATCATATTTCAACGGTAGTGACGAACATTCTACTTTAATAAAAATAGGACACAGTTATGTTACTACAATTTTAAAACGATCGTATAATTATATGAATAAAATTTTTCTAATTAATCCATACATTTTAATACTATTATTTAAAATATCTTACGTGTTTATTAATGATCAATGTAATTATTACAATCAAAGAAAAGTTTTAAAATATATGAATCAAATCATTTTATTTTATTCGTTTGATTTATTAGCAAACATATTCGTACATGTAGGCAATATAAACGATTCATTGAAATAGTATATAACAATCAAATGAAATAATTAAAAACAACAAACACGTTTCAGCACACTTACCGTGATCTTTCAGAAAACGTTCAACAATATTTAAGTCTCGTTATATCTCACAATTGTAGTACATGTTCCGCTTAAATCTACAAGACGAATAAATAATTCTTATCGAATATTAGTCTTATATACTTGAACAAATATGCATTAAATTACAAGCATTTGAAAAATACAATTAAGAAAAAATTTATCAATCCTATCATTAAACTCAATAATATACTCAAAGCGCAGAAACTTACACTCTTCTTAAAATAAAGTATTTATATCTCTATACTACATAATTTGGATAATATATTTGTTAATTTCGCTGGTAGATAAATCATTATAAATTTTGATAATTAAATAATAAAATGTGGTAATAAATATGATAAATTTA